GGCGTAAATCAACTTCGCGGATGTACGCAGTATGCACACCGGTTTTCAGGTCTTTTCTTCCACAAAGGCCAAAAATAACACATTCGAAACCACATGTGTTTAACCAACAGAGGTTTTGACAAAACCTGTGATCGAGGGCTCGAAACCGTTCGCCTTGATTATGCTTCTTGGTTTGGCAGCACCTTACACTTGTTCATGGGTCTCACCAAATTGGAAAACGTCAAAGACGTGGATGACTTAAGGCTTTCTCCAGCATCAAGCTGACACGCCGTGATATAACTGAAATATGGTTCAAAACGGTGTTTAACCAAACTGTCACCCCCTCGTGACTATGTACCAAATGTACGACAAACTGGTTCAGAATTCGTTTAAAATATATATTAAGCATACCATGTCCATATCAGTTCCAGGGAAATATCAGTGGCCCTTAAACGTTTTTCAGTGAATATAATCGGATGCAGAGTGCGTGGAAACACACTGCACCTTCAGCTAAACACTTACCCGTTAGTCCCATGAAGATGTCAGGTTAGAATTGGTCTTCAGCAACCCTTGCTTGTCGTAAGAGGCGACTAACGGGATCGGGCGGTCAGGCTCACTGACTTGGTTGATGGATGGCATTGTATCCCACGCGTCGATCGATGATCACGACGTCAATCACTGGATTGTCTGGTCCAGATTCGATTATTTACAGCCCGCAGTTACATAGCGTGAATATCGCTGAGTGCAAAGTGCAAACAACAAACAAACTTAACCGTTAAACTCCCTGACAGTGGTTGACTTACTGCAAACATACGGGCAGTGTAGACAAATTCAGGTGATTCGACTAGGCTTCCTGGTTTGGTGATGATGTCACGAGGGTACGTGAGCCATAGTATCATAGTTTGTCCATAATTGGTCTCTTATCCAATCTACCACATGAACTATTTAACCGAATCCTTTGTAATTAGGCCCATTTAGAAAAAGGGTACTAGTTTACAAACTGATCATAATAATTCTGCTATTTAGGCTATCACGATTATTGTATTATATATTTCGCAAGAGAACAGTTTTTTGTGAACTAATATTATGGTTTTGTTACTTGTACAGCATTTTTTAAGGTGCGGTCATTGAAAAATGTACGCCTTGAACATGATGTACTATTAGGGCAAATATGAATAAACTCTCTCTCCCTCTCTCTATCTCTCTCACATCCCCTTCTATTTTTTTTAAACAGTTCAATAAAAACGTTCAAGGGTTTGAGTCAACTCTGCTCACCAAATTCAAAATGTCGGCAACGTGTGTCTTTTGTAAAGATTCCGAAACTTCCAAGAACTTCCTTTTTCATCGCGCTAATATCAAACAAGACATATTCATCAATTCATATTTTTTCAGTGCACTGTCAAGTAATATGTCAAGTATCCTCCGCTTCAAACGCCCACAACACAGCATGGATAACCGGAAATGCCTTCATTTCGCAAAGAAAACCTCTCTGAAGCTACAAGTTCAAAGATGCCAGTTCAGCTGTTTTTAGACTTTATTGATCATGACATTCATTCGCTGAAGAGCACGTATTCTGTGGCTTAGCATGCACTGTTAGTACTTTTAATTACACATCTGTCAAAGGCAATTGGTTCCTGTTCTATAGAGTGCCTATTTTAGACTTTGATGAGGAAAGTATGAAACGATCGGCCTTGGTATTGAGCTGCACAGGGATACGTGCTACAATATAGAAAGTACAGGAATATAAACGATGCATATGCCTGCAGTTGCGACGTGGTTTAAAGATAAATATCTGCTATTTCCAAACCAAATGAGGTATAAGAGCTGGTCACCATTTTGGAGCCGCATGTGCCACGTTTAAGGGATTGCAAACGTACGCTTCATAAATATGGAAGGCCACTTTCATGATTTAAAATAAAATGAATAATAAAAATGGTTATTAGTTAGATGTGATCTATAGTTAAAGGTAGTAGCTAATAAATATAAGCCATAAAAGACATTGTTCATTGTAAGATTTCGACTGTATCATGAGCATGTGCTTATGAATCACTATCAAATAGTGATGAAACCGCGAAAAAGGTATCTTGTCCCACCAGTTGCACCTGTCACAAACACATGCAAAGGCATGTCAATTGTTTATCTGACAAACACACGGGAACATGTGGTACAAGTCAAAATAGGAAATTACATCGGAGATCATTTTGGTTACTGATGAATCAAATTTGAAAATGACATACTAAAACTTTTTGAACGCTTTGCTGAGGCCTTGAATGTTGTAACCTTGATCAAACAACTTTTGCGCAAGAGTCGTATTCGCTCTTTGAAGTCTTAGCAGAAAGAGCACGTTCGATTGTACGTCATGAAGTGTGAAATGTAGACACCAAAGGCTAAAGCTGCTGAAAGTTGACAATTGGAAGTCATCCCCCTTTTCATACAGTTTTGTAGAGAGGTTTTTTGTCACTATGAATCTATATCATAGATCTAAACATGAAACAGACGAGGCGGTCTCACGGGTCCCCTTTATTTCTAGTTAAGGTGGGTAAATAAGGGGAAGAGAGCTGGCTATTTGATGGTTAATGAAACATGTCCACAAGCATCACAAACAGTTTCATCACATTTTACTCATAAAAATGTTTGCGAGATTTCTCTCATCTTTCATTGATGAACTTCAACTTTCATTTCCACTGTTCACCTTCATACCACTGGCGTAAATATAAATCGTCAAACCCAGAGAATACATTCATCACCACTCGCCCCTTTCCGTAACCTGCAAGAAGACTCGTCCCCCTATCGATGAATGTTATGTGCGAAAATACGACAAACCAATCAGAATGCGCGTATGATTTCAAGTTCTTTGTCAAAGAATCCCTCAGAAATAATATTTGATTTTACATGTGTCTTGCATCTAAAAATATACCCAAGACACAGTTAAATGTGTTCAAACATACTGTATAAGTCCGCATGTCCAGATCTGCTTTAAATTGTATCTTAAATATATATAATATACGGGGAAATATGTGTGAACCATTACACAACGAGTTGACAATTGTTTTAGGTATGCCCGTTTGCGCCAAGACGGAACCCGGTTGCAAAAATGGCCACGAGAGGGGCACGAGTCGCTATTCGGCTTGTCCCGGAATAACAAGAGTTGGTCACGAATGCCAGAGAATAGTCAGTCTGGATTATTCTCCGAAACAAACTGCATTTGGCGTAAAATGCAAACTAGTCCTGACTATTCTATGAATGGATCACTGAAAAGTACCGATGACACCGGCTGTTCGCGAAACATGCTCAGATACATGCACGTCAGAACCACATTCAGTTGGTTATTTGGTTGGTTGGTTGGTTGGTTGGTTGGCTGGTTGTTTAATATTCCAGCTATATGACGGCGGTCTGTAAATAATCAAGTCTGGACCAGACAATCCAGTTGTTGATATCATGAGCATCGATCCACGCAATGGGGATCGGTGACATGCATCAACCAAGTCAGCGAGCCTGACCACCCGATCCCGTTAGTCGCCTCTTACGACAAGCATAGTCGCCTTCTACGGCAAGCATGGGTTGTTGAAGACCTATTCTACCCCGGATCTTCACGGGTCACCACATTCAGTATTGTGTTCTGTCAATATGCCTTATTTGACAACATTGTTCGACATTCTCAGAACCCTTAGATGTTAACTCTCTGACAATCCACCGGCCTTCATTAGATCGGTCCAGGGTTAGGGCTTAATTGGATTAACTCTGCTTAATGTGCATCTCCCTTGGAAGAACTGTTGTAAAATTTGATTATGTCCATTTAGCCATCACTCGTTCCTACAACAGTTTGTAAAAAGTAACCCTTAGCTGGGTAATTTTGTGTCAAATTAAATTGGTTCAGTGAAGATTGGGTTAAGTAAAGAATTTGCACCAACATGACCCCTACCATGTTTGAAATGTTGTAAATTTGTGCCGAAATAAAGATAATTTTCAGAGATAGCAAGTTTAAGATATCCATCAGCAGTTGTGTGCTATGCGAAAAAATAATTAAAGTTTTAAAAGTTTTAAATCAAATTATATTTTTAAAAACCAAACTATGTAGAAGTATTGTTTGAGTGCTAAGCGCCAATGCAGGATATTTTGTGGATACAACATCGCCATATTAAGATACTTTCAATAACAAATCAAACACATGATAAATCATCTAAGCGGTATCTATATGAAATCATATATATTGCTATATAAATGTCACCTACCATAATCATTTTGATGAAATTTCATATCATTTGGCGAAACAAAACAGACAACAAAACCCACATGTTCATCTAAACAATCTCTGTGATTTTTTTACAGTCAGAAAAGTTTTATTCGTAGTTCAGGCCTCAAAACCCATAGGGGGGCACGGGTGGCCCAGTCGTCTAAGGCGCCGCAATTCACTGTGCAGAGTTGCGTCCCTTGGACATGCCAAAAACCCATGATTGTGGGTTCGAATCCCGGTTCGCCCCGATTATGTTTCTAGGTTTGTCAGCACCATACCCGTGCTCGTGGGTTTCACCGAAGTGGTAAACATCTGAGACCTGCATCACTTCGGGCTTTCCTCCTACATTAAGCTGACATGCCGTGATATAACTGGATTACTGTTAAAAGCGGTGTTAAACCCAACTCACTCACGCTATCAAAACCCATAGCACATATAGTTACAAATGTGTAACAAGAGACTATGTGTGAGACTGACAAAGAGTTTAGAATTTTGAACGTATTTTGAATACACATTTGATATATTTGGAGGATTTAATAAAATAATCTAAATCAGAGACTGAATAGATACATCTAATGCTGCGGTACATGGTGTGCCTCCTGTGTGGGAGTAGCACATCTGTCATGCTGTCATAAAACACAGTTATAGAAAAATGTTGTTTTCCTCTTCGAGCACTTTACATATTTTTCATAATGCATCATCAGTAGTTAACTCGCATAGCCGTTTGTTACTTTCTGGATGCCCAAGCTATTGCGCCATCTTCTAAATTTGGTTCTTGTTCTTCCAGGAACCCATGATTGAACTGAAGACGGTAAAACGGAATTATAAACGAGTGAGAAGAAGCGCCATCCGCTGTTCCGCCAACTCCACCGAACCTCGTTGCTGCCGCTACCCTCTCCGCGTCAACTTCGTCGACTTTGGGTGGGACTGGGTAATCGCCCCACGGGACTATGCCGCGGATTACTGTTCAGGAGAGTGCCGTTATGTGATGCAGGACGAGAACCATCACAGTTACCTGCAGCAGCAAGCGGGTTCCACCGGCCCATGTTGCACGCCGACCATGATGTCGCCCCTCTCCATGCTATACTTCGACCACGACCACAATATTCTGTTTACAAATCTCCAAGAAATGAAAGTGGAAAGGTGCGGTTGTGCTTGATTCGGACTGTATTGCTGACAAAGAGAACAGGTGTGGCATTGCATGATTAAAGGTCTACCGAAGTCCTCGTCTTTCGCCATCGGTTTTGCAATCCCAATACGGCGCAAGAAAATGATGAGGAGAAGGTTACTGAGCGGAGATATTTGGCGCCATTTGATGGATGACTATCCATCTGCCCTTAATAAAACTGACTGTGCTTTTGCACAATTACCATAGCTGTGAAAACTCCTTTTCTGAGGCTTAGTTTAGGAAGCAATAGAGAAAAGCTTGTTATTAATGATCGAAGCAGCCCACCATTGCTCGGTCTGAATACCATTGCTTCTGAAGCTATTACCATACGTTTATGAGTGGATTAGAAGCCTTTCCTGGTGCTCGTGGCACCGCTGTAATCTGATAAGGCTATTATCCATCGACCTTCTGCACACATAATTGTGGGTTAAGCACACGTCCGTCTTCTATTCCTCTCGGCCAGTTCGAACTAATGACCGCACTTATGCGAGTCCGTTTTAGTAACAATATGTGATACGTGATTCTCAACTAGAGTTCTCATGATAGGGATTCCCGTAATCTGCGTTAGATATATAACTCCTGTTTGAGTCATGTCTGTATTAGCAGTACCATAACTTGTATTTAAATTTGTATCTTTGAAACAACGATTGTAACAAAAGAAGGATGTATTCATATAATACCGTTGTAGAGGTATTGGACACTCTTTAACTTGGAAAACCTTTACAAATATGTATTCAGATAAACTAAAAGTCTACTAGATATGTAGTTACCATAAACATCCCTTGAGGAACAAGTTGCAAATATATGAATGTATTGTGTATCTTCGTCTGTAAAGATCGTCGTGACATTAAATATGAAGCCTTAAGAAAGGAATGCAATGATATTAGCATACACATGTTGCTAGAAGCGGTGAATCTGTGTTGATTTAGAATTGTTTATTTCATATGAGAATGTACAAATCCAAACGACAAAACTGTATATATGTTTGCGATTAGAATATGTTGGGACGTAAAGACACAATATATAATGATCAAATGAAACTATTTTATCTGTTTCCTATTGTTTAATGATATAATTTTCCAGTATATATTCTGTATCTTGTAAATTGACTTACATCTAAATATATGTCATATATTTGCCTAACAATGCAACGAAAAAACAAAACAAAACAACGAAAAGTTCCCCCAGTAGGAAAACATAAGAACTATGACGGTGTAAGTAAGAAAACGCACAGCTTTATGGAACAACTACTTGTTTATTGTATGTAAAGACGTTTCGATGTATATTTTTACACCGTTATCATTGGTTTGTTGGTTGGTTGGTTTGTTGTTTAACGCCGCACTAAGCAGTATTCCAGCTATATGACGGCGGTCTGTAAATAATCGAGTCTGGACCAGACAATCCAGTGATTTATATCATGAACATCGATCCACGCAATTGGGATCGATGACATGCATCAACCAAATCAGCGAGCCTGACCACCCGATCCCGTTAGTCGCCCCTTACGACAAGCATAGTCGCCTTTACGGCAAGCATGGGTTGCTGAAGACCTATTCTACCCCGGATCTTCACGGGTCACACCGTTATCAAGCTGGAGTGACTACAACCACGTGATGAGAGGTATCTATGCATGGCTTGATGTGATAAGCAGCATATTAACACTGACAACAATGGAAATAGATAACAAGTAGCATACAGATAATACCGGTTGTTGTCAATGTTATTCCGCTGTTTAACACAACATGTCATGCATATACCTCTCTCTACTTGGTTGTGGGGCGGTCGAGTAGCTTAGTGGTTAAAGCGTTCGCTCGTCACGCCGAAGACCCGGGTTCGATTCCCGACATGGGTACAATGTGTGAAGAACATTTCTGGTGTCCCCCGCCGTGATATTGCTGGAATATTGCTAAAAGTGGCGTAAAACAATATTGACTCACTTTACTTGGTGGTAGTCACTCCAGCTTGATAACGGTGTAAGAATCTACGTCGAAACGTCGCTGTATGCCATAAACGAGAAATTGTTATCCATAAAGTTTACGTTTTCTCACATTCTCACCTATTTCTAGACTGCCAATCAAACAGTTATAACGGTATAATTTGTGACAAGCTAACGTTCAGAGTATGACCAAGATCACAACCTTGTCTTTCAGCTTGTGGCATTATATCCTACGCCAATGAAACATGCCTTTAACATCTGACTAAATGAAATACATGCTTGATCTTATGCAGTGTGAAAATACTGGAGTAATTTGTAATAGCTTTTTGTTTGGTTAAATGACTCCCATAGAACATTTTCGTAATGAATGGATATTCTGAATTATTGTCAACGGTATTTGCATGTCCATGTACTATATTTGCTAATGACACTGTGCCCTTGACCTTGACCTTGACCTTTATTGACGTAACATCCTGGCACTTTGGTTCTAAAGACATGCTTTGAGTGAAGGAGGTGTTTGTTTGGCTGTTTTTTTTACAATTTGTCTTGTGAGTTCTGTTGAAAATGTCCATGCTTCTCAATTTAGGAATCTTTGCAGGAAAGAAAATATTTGTTGAGTTATGCGTGATACAAGGATGTCATTATACAGGCTGTCCTTTAGAATATTCTTTGTTTGATTATGTATAATGTATGAGTGATGATGTAGGTAATCCAACAGTGACAGACAATGTTACACAGCACTGCGTCTTGTATCAGCTGGTTTTTACCGTTACATGTAACCGTCGGCTGTAACTCGTGGTATCTATGCGTGTGTGTATGTGTCACTCTATGTTAATATTCCTGTAACTGCTATCGCGGTTGTGCAATAAGAAGGCTCGTATATAGAAGGATTAATTTTCCAGTTGGGCCTGATTAGGTTTTTTTATGCCCTCCGTGCGTACGTTCAGACCAAACAATCTAAGAAAGATCAATTAGTTCTTTTCGTGAAACTTTTTGTCAACTACACTGTACTCTTAATTAATACTAATACATTACTGAAAAAGGGTTCGTTCGTCACGCCGAAGGCCGGGTTCGATTCCCAAATGGGTACAATGTATGAAGACTATGTCTGTTAAAGCCAGTCGTGACATTGCAGGAATAATCTTAAAAGCGGCGTAAAACGATACTCACTCGCTCAACGCGGAGACACCGTCTTCTACAATACATTTTAGGCGACGCAATTCGAATCGCGGGCCTTAGTTGTGCCAGGATCCGCTGATAGTGGGGTCGAATGCAAGATTCGCCCAATTTATGACAAGTTTACTCGTTTAAGATCTTGGTATCACTTCCACACGTAATGATAATGTTCAAATCGGCGTTAATCGAACTGACTCACAATTAAACTCTGATTGTATGTCCCCCACTGTTCAGTAGGAGGCGTGTTAAATTATGTAGGCTACCCAGTCACTGTCCTTCACTAGAGTCTTGGTATTGTAACAACGCCGTTGTCTGACGTTCAGCCAACGTTTAGGCTCCACAATATTACAGACAACATCAACGCCGGAGATTAACCAGTCTTGATTATCCGCTGATTCCATTGGCCGTAACAGGCAAAATAGCGGTGAAAATTATATGAATGGATCACTGAAAATCATTGATGACGCGGTGTTCGCGATACATACCACGAGATACAACACATGCCACGAGTTTGCTGGTTTTTGTTTGAATATAGGGCAAGAATACGCCGCACAATGTTGAAGTTCTTAAGCTTTATTTTGATAGATATTGTGTGTTTGTGTTTGTGATCTTTACCTGTGATAACACTGTTCTGCGTATATAGGCCTTTCTCTTAAATTGTTGAAATTATGCAAAGTATGTTTGGAGGACTTACTACAACATAATGCGAAATACATACGATTGAAATTCTCGATACGCTCACAGTTAAAACGATGTCAAGAACAAAGCGTTTCAATACAGGAATATTAGGGTATCTACCCAGAAAAAAAAACTTTTAGAAGACCTCGTACGGCAGTTCAGTTTCTGACATGACATTTGATTAAACCCGTGTGATCATCTACAAAACCAGATCTAGTGCGAGATGGGATATCTCCACTCTCGTTACAATCAGATCTTAGTTCTCGCTACCGCTAAACAAAGATGTGGGGACATCCCATTACAGGTCACGTCAGAACGACCTTTCGCGAACTTTGACCAACCATTGAAATGACCAGCAAGGAATCGACATTAGCCAATCAGAAAGCAGCTTTCTCTAACTTTACGACATTAGCTTCAAAGTAGAGACTTGCATTCTAGACTCGCTTCTAACAATATTTTGACAAAGTTCTCAATTTATAATTTGAAAACTGAAGAAAAGAAAATTCTGGAATGTCTAAAAGATGGTCGAGTTTGTATGGCGGTACTTCCCAGGGACTATGGAAAGTCTCTTCCGTTTCAAAGTTTATCCCTTTGAAACGAGATTCAGACGACGAATCGGTCGTACAGTCAGTAACTAGCATTTGGAATACCCCGAATTAATCTTTTCGAGGTTGCATCATCAAAAAACCCATTCTGACTTTCACTTTCCTGATCTGGTAAGCGACGCTCTGATTGGTCAGGTGAAAGGTCGTTCTGACGTGACCCGTAATGGGATATTCTCAGATCTTTGCTAGCGGGAGCGAGAACTAAGATCTGATTTTATTGAGATTGGGATATATTTTGTACATTTTGGGATTTTATCAAAAAAATATATTGTCCCTCAAAATACTTGAAAGAGTATTTATGTTTCAAACTGTTGAATACAATGTCTGCCACAAAAATACATTGTTGCAAGAGACTTTTAAACACATATTTTGTCTCATACTTTTAATTCTATAGCTCTTGCTGAAACAATACATAGTCTCTATATCAATGGTCGGCCTCTTAAAATTAAAACTCATTTTATTTCAGAATATTTCTCAAACCGGCTAGTATCTGTAAATACGACCTATTTGTGATTTAGTTTAGTGAATACTGTTATGCTTGTGATTTTGATACATAATTCAGTAGAAACGCCAAATGAGTTAACCGCGTTTGATCAGATGTCATGTAAGTTAATACAGAACGAGGCCCCCAGCCAAGTTGTAAATAGTGGAGTTTTACTGAACCCAACAAAGACTTACCAGTCCGCCCATGTGCTGCTAGACTAACTAGACTCGCCTAGATACGTCCGATGATGTGTATATATGAACAGAAATATGTCAACGACTGGAGAAGAAATAACGAGATATCGCAGCCATAATGTATTTGAGTGGATGAGGAATTATCACACATGAGCTCTATAATCAGTGAATGGGACAGGTGAACGGGAACAAGTGCATGATGCAGGGTTTGAAGTGTGACATGAGTGTATGGAAATATTGTCAGGGACATATTTTGGTCTGTGAAAATTGAATTTTTTCATTCCGTATAAGGATTCACAATTTTCAAGAATGTCGCGTCTTTGAAATAAACACCGGTGAAACGCTTAAATACAGAGTATTAAACGTGTTTCGTGTGAAAATTATCTTCAAAATGAATACAACATTGCTTGGTCCTTTGTTGAAGAGGTATGCAGCTGACGTTTCTAAATTGTGGACCGTGTCATTGATAATCCGTTGTCTGATGCTTATATATAGGTTTCAAATACTGATGATAACAAGGAAACAGATGCGAAGGGCCCCGTAGGAGATACTAAGTCCTACGTAGGAGATACTAAGTCCTACGTAGGAGATACTAAGTCCTACGTAGGAGATACTAAGTCCTACGTAGAAGATACTAAGTCCTACGTAGGAGATACTAAGTCCTACGTAGGAGATACTAAGTCCTACGTAGAAGATACTAAGTCCTACGTAGAAGATACTAAGTCCTACGTAGGAGATACTAAGTCCTACGTAGGAGATAATAAGTCCTACGTGGGAGATAATAAGTCCTACGTAGGAGATACTAAGTCCTACGTAGGAGATACTAAGTCCTACGTAGGAGATAATAAGTCCTACGTGGGAGATAATAAGTCCTACGTAGGAGATACTAAGTCCTACGTAGGAGATACTAAGTCCTACGTAGGAGATACTAAGTCCTACGTAGGAGATAATAAGTCCTACGTAGGAGATACTAAGTCCTACGTGGGAGATAATAAGTCCTACGTAGGAGATACTAAGTCCTACGTAGGAGATACTAAGTCCTACGTAGGAGATACTAAGTCCTACGTAGGACCTGATATCCTACGTAGGAGACACTTAGACAACAACAAAATCACCGTGGCCCTACTACGCTTCCGTACAAACTTGCTCAATGAGGTGACACTCATTCTATTTTCATATTTGCTTCCATTATATTATAAAGCATTTTCTCGTTCAATAGATAACATATGTTGACCGAAAAGATGATCAAATATGCTTTTTTAGCAGAACACTGCTTTTATTCAGTTAATGTTTCGTCACGTTGTCGACTTCTTCACTTGCGGAAGTCTCCCGTGTAAAATACCATCAACAAAGGTTAAACCTAATAAGATATTTTACAGTTGCTGATTTTGTGTCGTAAGTGTGTTAATGTTTTGATTGATCCTTGCCTACCAAGAACACTGAACATTCTAAATGGTATGTGCTGTGTCTATTACTTGTATTGGTCTGATATCGGATATTTACTATTCATCATAAGAAAAGAACACCTGGCCTTTACTATTACTATAGTAAACCTGTCATGGCCATGATAATATTATCTATAGTCATATGAAAAAATCGGGTGGTCTTTACTTATTTTGAGCAGTATATCATACCAATTATCAAGTTTACTTTTAATGGACGTGAATGCGAACATGTGTATTACAAAAAAGTATTTGTTAAATGGCGGAATATTGGAGCGTTTAGATGCTCACAAGCAACGCTGACACATCAGTCCTTAGCCCTGTGAAATATACCTGTTCCAAGAGAATTGTCACAATCAAATTTTTTCTAACTTCGCATATAGTTAAACATTGGACACTCGGCGTCAGTGTGGCAAACTGCAACATGATCTTGAAACTATAGCAACTGTGTCACGTGACATGATGCCGCGCAGGATGGGGATCAGTGGTTGGGACTATGTTTGGTGGTAGTGGTCTGTACCCCGTGTCTGGTTGGTGAGATTATGGTGGGGCTCATCCTCATTGGGAATCTCGTTATTGCTGACAATGTGATAAAATAATGTACATATACGTGTAAAGGCTGCAAATGTCGACGAATATCGTAATAAATGCTGGAAAAAAGTATCTTCTGTGTTTATTGTGTTTTCAAAGTATAGATATTCATGGTGACCCGTGAAACACAGAGGGCACTCTTCTGGATGTGTTGGTTGTTTGTTGTTTTACGCCGCACTCAGCAATACTCATGCTTTATGACGGCGGTCTGTAAATAATCGAGTCTGGACCAGACAATCCAGTGATTGCCATCATAAGCTTCAATCAACGCAATTGGGATCGATGACATACATCAACCAAGTCAGCGAGCCTGACCAACCGATCCCGTTAGTCGCCTCTTACGACAAGCATAGTCGCCTTTTACAGCAAGCATAGTCGCCTTTTAGGGCAAGCATGGGTTGCTGAAGACCTGTTCTAATAAGTCAGCTCTGCCTTCAATGTTTTGACAAAAAAATAGCAGCTGAATCCAACCCAGTCTTCAAAAGCATTTTTCTATGTCCAAGAACCAAAGTCTTATCTTAGCAAAGAATCAAAATTACACTCAAAATAAATGTCACTACCTGACACAATGACTTGAATAATGTGAAATCTTACGCGCGGAAATGTTTTTACTTCAAATTACACAAAGTTTTAGCTGGATATTTCCACAAAAGACGTATGAAGCAATCAGCTTATGCAATCTGCTAAAGTGGACTTCATCGTCATGTGTTTCCTGGAAACGTTTTGATATCAGGGAATGAAGGACCTATCCCATCCTCCACGCACCGGGATGATAGTAAGTAGAGCAACAAAATCTGTCCATGTCCAACAGAAATCTCTCCATAAAGCAGAGTCGACTGTCCGATTCCGACTTTATCATGAGTATGTGTTTATGAATTACTATCAAATAGGGGGCGGCTGGGTAGCCTAGTGGTAAAAGCGTTCGCTCGTCACGCCGAAGACCCGGGTTCGATTCCCGACATGGGTACAGTGTGTGAAGCCCATTTGTGGTGTCCCTCGCCGTGATATTGCTGGAATATTGCTAAAAGTGGCGTAAACCCATACTCACTCACTCACTATCAAATAGTGATGATACAAGGTGTTCGCAAAAAGGTAAGCGTATCCTGCCCCACGGGTGGCACACGTCAAAAACCCATGCAAAGGCAAGTCATTTGTTCACCTGAAAAGACACCTGGACATATGGTACAAGTCTGAATAGGGAATTGCATCGGACATCATTTTTGTCACTGATGCGGCAGGAGGTGAGGTGAAATGGGGTTTAACGTTGCGTCCAAGATTATTGCACTTATATAGCGACGTTCATGCACGTGTATGCGTGTGTGTGTGTGGCTGCTTGTACTAGTCCGGACTTATGCCGATTTATAGTGCTAGCTCACTGAGATACCATGCCGCAGTTTAACATGAATACCCCTCTCAGACACAGTATACTGACTCCGAGCCGACCAGTCCTTGTTTTAGTCCCTTAATGCCGAGCGCCAGACAGGGTAACAACAAGTACCATCTTTTAACGTCTTTTGGTATGACGCGGCTGGGGATCGAACCCCGGACCTTCCGCTCTCCGGGCGGACGCTCTACCATTAGACCACGGAGGCGGTCGATGCGGCAGGAGATAGTCACCGGCTAACTAAAACTCACCAACATATGCCTCTGGAGATTACTTAATGTGTAGGTTGAATCTGTAATCTGTACGTGGCTTTGCTTGCCTTAGTTGGTTGCAGCTACTGTAGGGAGGTGAAAGAGAGTTCTAGTTTACTTGCGGACCCGTTAAACTAAAAAATAAGATTTAAATATGAAAGAATAGTAAAATGTCAAAGAGTGAGTGAATTGGGTTTAACGCCGCTTTTAACAGTATTCAAGTTATATCGCAGCGTGTCAGCTTAATGTGGGAGGAAAGCCCGAAGTGATGCAGGTCTAAGACGTTTACCACTTCGGTGAAACCCACGAGCACGGGTATGGTGCTGACAAAACCTAGAAACATAATCGGGGCGAACCGGGATTCGAACCCACAATCATAGGTTTCTGGCGTGCCCAAGGGACGCAACTCTGTACAGCGAATCGCGGCGCCTTAGGCGACTCGGCCACCCGTGCCCCCAAAATGTCAAAGAAAGAAGATGCAATAGCAACCTTCCTCGGTCAGGGTACGACGACAGGCTATCAACGAAGACACCCAGCCTGACCACCCATCCATTTGGTCACCTCTTACTACAAACGTGGGTTGCTGGGGACCCATATTCTAACTCGAAATCCTCACGTGGGAAACACACCTGTAATTACATAAGTACATAAGAAGATATGCTTACATATAAGTATGGTAGCCATGGAAACTAAATAAATGGTATGGGGGCGAGATTTGACTGAAATATTGCTAAAAAGGCGCGCAATCGACCTCTTTCACTGGAACATATTGCACAACTCGACTCATATCTAACAAAGGAGGCATTATCAAGACTATAACAAACAAGCAGAAAAAAAATGATCTCAATTTCTTTACTTTTTGCAATACAGAAAATAAGTTGCTTTCTTTTTTTTGTAACACAGGTTGAGACATAACTGGTCCGCGGTACCCCGGTTCTAAATAACACACGGATCACGTTCAGGTACCACCGGGAGCTTCAAGGTCGCGCTCGGCCATCTTGGATTTGTAAACTTCATGTGACAACAACGACTTCATCTCCCTCTCGAACTCATACAGACGGGGCAGAACGACGGCAATGTATCCTTCTGTCTGAAACTAAAAAGGAAAAATACTTAAAAATAGTGTAATAAAAGAAATTACTACTAAAAGGCGAACCCATTGTACGATTCGGACTACAGTAAAGTACGGTTATAACGAACTAAAATGGACTACTAATTTTAGTTCGTTATAACCGTAGTTCGTTATAAGCATATATACAGCATAACTACAGCAAATAGTCGGGACCAAAAAAGTAAGTTCGTTATATCCGTCAGTTCGTTATAAGCGTGTTCGTTATAACCGTAGTTTACTGTATATCATGAGCATGTGGTTATAAATGACTGATGGTGATGACACTAGTTGTTCGTGAAAAGGTGAGAGTATCCTGCCCAGCCGGTGGCATCCGTCACAAAAACACGCAAAGGCAAGTCAATTGTTCACCTAAAAAAAAAAAGGGAACATATGGTACAAGTCAAAATAGGGAAATGATCTGACATAATTTTTGTCACTGATGCGTAAAATTTGGAAATATCTTCCACATGGCTACCATAAAACTTTTTGAAAGCTTTACTGAGGCCTTGATCAAACAACTTCTGAGAAAGATAGATCTAAATATGAAACAGATGAAGCGGTCTCACTGGTCTCCTTCATTTCCTGTTCAGGTGGTCAAATCAGTGGAAGGGAATTGGCTATTTGATTGTTATTAAACTATATCAGATCATCCATATACCTGAAGCTTAAGTTTAACTTCTTGGCCATTAATTACCTTGTTTTGACTTTGCCAATCCGAACAGAAATTCTGATTCACATGCATAAAGATTCATTAATGAATACAGAAACAATTATGTGTTTAAAAGAATGTGCGTGTGTGTGGGGTGGGTGGGGGGGTGGGGGGTGGGGTTGGGGGTGGGTCTGTGTGTGTGTGTGTGTGTGTGTGTGTGTGTGTGTGTGTGTGTGTGTTCTGTCAAACATGGGTGGAAATCAGTCAGGACAATAGCGTAAATTTGGCGCTTAACTGAAGCACAGTTTTCAAAATTGACTATTTAAACACCGATATCACATGATATAGAGTTTAATAATACCCTAGTGCATTTCCGTGTCGTGAGCCAAAAGCTAGCATGCATTGTCTCCCTAATAATTCACGACACGGAAACACTGGGCGAGTGCTGTCTAGATACACTTCGATGCATGTCACTTTTTACATCTGTAAAAACAAACATTATCGTGACTTTCTTAATGTCAATAAAAAATACAACAATCTAAATATACAATGTATGCAACACATCTACCAGCGAAAGGTCGTTTGCTTCTGGACTGAACCACCTTCCTTCAAGGGTGAAGTAGGAAGGACAATAGGCTGACGTCCTGGGGGAGATACGGCCTATCGATCAGCTGCCAAAGAGGCAAGCCACTGCCATGCGTAATGTCACTAGGAAGGACAAACTTCTCATTCATGACACTGACGGGCTTCTTGACCAGGCAGCAACAACATCAAGCTGTCGTTGACGATACCACCAATCATCAGTTGTTGTTGTTTGTTTGTTGTTTAACGCCGCACTAAGCAATATTCCAGCTATATGACGGCGGTATGTACATAATCGAGTCTGGGCCAGACAACCCAGTGATTGATATTATAGCATCGATCCACGCAACTGGTATAAGATGACATGCATCAACCAAGTCAGCGAGACCTATTCTACCTCGAATCTTCACGGGTCCCACAAGTCATCAATACTGGTTTCGTTGCTGATGTAAGTTTCAAAAACACTTTCCCTATGAAAAAAACATTTATGCTTTTCTCAAAACAGTGGAAACAATGCCGAGGGAATTTAAGAAACGCAAATTTGCAAGGAAACACCACAAATGTCAAATGTCAACAGATGTTACATGGCATTCGTCACCACTCGCCCCTTTCCGTAACCTGCAAGAAGACTCGTCCCCCTATCGATGAATGTTATGTTCGAAAATATGACAAACCAATCGGAATGCGCGAATGATTTAAAATTCTTCGTCAAAGAATCCCTCAGAAATAATGTTTGATTTTACATATGTCTTGCATCTAAAAATATACCCAAGTCACAGTTAAATGTGCTCAATCATATTGTATAATCCCGCATGTCCGGATGTGCTTTAAATTGCATCTGAAATATATATAATAAATGGGGAAATATATGTGAACCATTACGCAACGAGTTGACAATTGTTTTAGGTATGCCCTTTTGCGCTAAGACGGAACCCGGTCGCAAAGATGGCCACGATAGGGGCACGAGTCGCTATTCGGCTTTTCCCGGAATAACACGAGTTGGTCACGAATGGTTACATGGATCCAGAGACACGTTACAAGAAAACCATACTGGTCGACAGCGGTTTAGATTCTTTCATATTATTGCGCCCATTATTCTGTGTAACATTTTCTTGGCATACAGTAGTCATATATTCCTTTTAATTCGACTTGATGTTGCGCAGTGTGCGTCGGTATTGATCTTCATCCCTGAATGAACCAGGGGGTTGTGTCCTCCTTCCCACTCAATGAATGTCACGCACTTTGTTACGATGAATAGCACTGTCAATATTGGACACCAACAGTACTCGGTGAAGGGTGTTTTCTGTCGAAATCAGCAAATTTGGGAAATTATGTATTTCAAACAATGTTTCTCGTTTAACGCCCAGCAATAGTCCAGCTGTGTCGTGTGAGGTGAAATGGGGTTTAACGTTGCGTTCAAGATAATTATTCGTGCCTGCGTGCGTGCTTGGGAACTAGTCTGGACTACCATGCCTCAGTATACAAACTCAGAAAACGTATTCTGACTCCCAGCCGACCCGTCATTCCTCTATCCTCTTAATGCTGAGGGGACCGCCTCCGTGGTCTAGTGGTAGAGCGTCCGCCCGGAGAGCGGAAGGTCCGGGGTTCGATCCCCAGCCGCGTCTTACAAAAGACGTTAAAAGATGGTACTTGTTGTTACCCTCGGCATTGAGGGGCAAAAACAAGGACTGGTCGGCTCGGAGTCAGTATACTGTGTCTGAGTGGGCTCTTCATGTTAAACTGGTATCTCAGTGAGCTAGCACTATAAATCGGCATCAGTCCGGACTAGTACAAGCAGCCACACACAAACACGTGCATGCACGTCGCTATATAAGTGCAATAATCTTTGACGCGACGTTAAACCCAATTTCACCTCACCTCACCTCACCTCACCTCTTAATGTTGAGCGCAACGCAGGGTACAACAAATACAATCTTTGGTATGACCTAGCCGGGGATCGAACCCCGACCTTCCGCTCTTCGGGTAGACACTCTATCCACTAGACGACGGAGGGGGGCCCAACCATATCAAGACGGCCTCTAAATTGTTTGAACCTGGCACACAATTGGCTGACACCATAGAAACGATCCAAGCAACCAGTAAGATGAGACATATTCATCGAGATCACACAATGTAAGCATCCGATATCTATTAGGGTGCTGTAACAGGTGTTGGTTTCTTTTTTGTTTATCGTTGAATTCCATTGTCATGACGGTCACCTGTATAAAATCGCGTTACTATTAATCACAGACAAACCAATGACTTATATTACCACGGAGGACAAGGACACGACATGAACCAAGCTTGCCAATTCATTCAGCCGCTTCATACAAAAGCAAGGGACCTACTCTATACTCCCAGCTTGATTGTGACGTCTTCTCGATGGCCGTCAAGGTATACCGTTATATTTTCATCGCTATTTTTCAGAACCGTTGAGTCTTTGTTTGTTTGTATTTTCTTTAACGCCAAACTCAGCAATATTCCAGCTATATGACGGCGGTCTGTAAATAATCGAGTCTGGACCAGACAAGCCAGTGATTTGATATCATGAGCATCGATCCACGCAATTGAGATCGATGACATGCATCAACCAAGTCAGCGAGCCCGACCACCCGATCCCGTTAGTCGTCTCTTATGACAAGCATGACCTGCTTTAGACCAATTCTTACCCGCCTCTTCAAGGGTCGAACCGTGGAATCAAATATTAGTTGTCGCTGACTGCTTCAGCGTACATTGTATGCTAATGCCACGTTCCATGCTGTGGTGGTGAACGTCTTATGTCAACAAAAAATCGGTTTTAAAAAAACTTCTTCCATCTTGGAGCTCATTGGTTGCATATGTTTCAAATGTCAACCAATAAATGTTTTATTCAACAAGCGGCAGCTTAAATTATCACTATGTTTCCTTCAGCAATACAATATATACACGTTCCGTCCTAAATCATTAGAAAAACAAACCTGAAGTCGTTAATAGAATACTATCAGTTACAAAATAAACATGCGGGCCAGGGAAATTTGACTTCGCATAAATCATTTGGGAAATGAAACCGAAAAAGCAATTGAAAGATAAAACACGTGAATGTTGCATTAGAAATCTCGCTACAAGAAAAAAAACTAATCACCTCTCTTATCGCAATTCTGGGTTTCCAATTAAAGTCTTATTAATGATGATGGATATCTAAAGAAACAAAAACAGGAGAGCTGACTGAAATTGACGACGAACATGATATCACTAACTAGACGAGAACTGGCTTTCCATACGAGGGTCATAACATCAATTTATTTAAGGTTCTTATCGACTGGAGGCTTCGAGGATATACATCAAACAGCCCAGCGCACATCGCTCCAGTGATAAATAACTCCCGCTTCGCGCAAAGCCATTGCGCGCTTTCTCTTAGAAAAATGACAAGCACAAATTTGAAACTGGCAAGGGCAATGAGTTGAGTTAACAAATCACCTCTTGTGTTGCTACCATGGCAAACGTACATGGTTTTTGTGGAGAACCAAAACGATGTAAGAATTTCTGTAGTCTTAATTAGGCTAACGAAGGATGTTCGTTCGCGCGATGCTATTAGTTAACATCGCTGACTTGACAGTATTTAAAGCATCTCCGGTTGCAATGAGAAGGGACATTGAACCCATCCCAATATAACCCGTTGGCTCTTTATAAGTTGATGTACATCTGTGTCAGTAGTGAAAGGTACATTCACAGTCGGGGAGGGTCATCCGTTCACCAGGCGAGCTCTTTTCTAAGG